ACTTTCCTAGGATTCCGCTGTACGCCTGTGCTGCTTACATCTACTACCAACCCCACCTGCTTCCTGAACAACCATCTAAGTGCATCTTCCTCAAGACTACCCCTTACGGAGGTCATTCACTTCCTAAACCTCTCCCTGGTTCACCATTGTTATTGCTCGGTCTTGCTTCTGGTTATTTAGAATTTGGTTTCTTCCACAGGAACCCTCAAGCTACATAGAAAACAAAGAAGAGAAATAAATCATATTTGTGGGGCTTCTCTCCCAATATTATCAGGAAAGAAATAGAACCTGCTTCTTTTTGCTGGAACGCTCCATGTGTTTCTCTGCCTCTCCCACATATCCTTTTTCTGCTACCAGCAAAGCATTTCCAACTTCTTTTCAGATTTATTATTTTTTTTTGGCCAATCAAAATATAGACTTCCTTTGCTAAGACATTTACCAAACTCAGAATGAAATATTTTTGTTTACAATTTAATTTAGGACTGTGCTGTCATTTGCCTAGAGTTTTTGTTTTCTTTCAGATTTCATTGGCCCCTCTAAGCCTCAGTTCCTGCATCTATAAAAGGTAAATAATAATAGCTTCTTCCTCACAGGTTGTTAAAATGATGTGAGATAATCCATGTAAAGTGCTGATCACAGCGCTGCAAATAATAAAAGCTTTTTAAATGTTAACTACTATTATTATTGCTCTCTAAATGGCTGTCCAGGATGGGCTGATGATTTACTGCGAAAGACGGTAACGAAGCAACTAAGGGTCAAGGCTGTTCTCCAAGGGATGAAGATGAAAGAACAATGACACCTCCATTATTATCCCTTGGTATCAATGAGCAAGATATTGCTAATGACAAGCTAGTCTTTTTCTCAGAAATAACACATATTTATCTCCATCAATCAGATTACCCAGTGCAGAGTAAAGTTACCTTTTTTAATGGTGACTTTATCTTTCCAGAGGTTGTGCTTAATAAAATATATTTGGGGCATTCAACTGAATCTTAAAAAGAAAAAAAAACTAATAGAAATATTGCAGAGTACAGCTCCATAGATATTCTGAATATCTTCAAGAAATAACTTTGCAAATGGATCATCAAATAACTTTGCAAATGGATCATCAAATGCACGATAGTATTGGAAGAAACCTCTGTGCTATAAACACATAATCTTGGGAGGAATATAGGCCAGCTAACTGAAGTGAAAACTATGGTGTGAGGCTGCAACAGGATTAACAGAACCACACAAAACAACCCAAATTAAAACCATACCAGATTATGTATGAGATAATTAGTACATATGATAAAATAATTAAATGTGGTCTTTTTTTAATTGGGTTATATTTGAAAATACAGAAAAGTACAAAACAGTAATCTAGCAAACACATGGTACCCACCTCTCAGACTTAATAAAACATATTATCACATTTTCTTTGGATACTTGTGAAAAGACATAAAATAGTAAAATTTTGATCAAAGTTCTTTTTGTGCAGCCTAATTTATTCTCTTCCATGCCATCCATCCCCCTTGCATCCTGGAAATAATCACCATTCTGAAATTGAAATGTATCCTTTCCATCCATGTTTTCATATTTTTACATACAAATATATAATATATACGTGTATGTCTACATATAACATATATTATTTTTAAGTTTCAAATTTTTAAATAACACATATAATGTTGTAGGAATTCTTAAGTGCTTGCTGCTTTTTTTTTTGCGGTACGTGGGCCTCTCACTGCTGTGGCCTCTCCCATTGTGGAGCACAGGCTCCGGACATGCAGGCTCAGCGGCCATGGCTCACGGGCCTAGCCGCTCCGCAGCATGTGGGATCTTCCCGGGCCGGGGCACAAACCCGTGTCCCCTGCATCGGCAGGCAGACTCTCAACCACTGCACCACCAGGGAAGCCCAAGAGTTTGCTTTTTCTTTCAACATTTTTCTATTATTTTTATTATTCATTGTGCCTGCTGTATATAATTTTATTCCTTTATAATAATGGATATTTAGGTTGTTTTTAGTGTTTATTTTCTATAAACAGCAATGTCACATTGAATACCCTTGTGCATATTTTCTTGTGCACATATGCAAGAGTTTTTCTGAAGTAAATACAGCACTTAGGAGTGGAATGTTGGAATCTGATCAACCTAACGATATTGCCAAATTGTTCTCAAAACTTGCTGCATTAATTTATGCAACCACTACCAACATATAAGAGTTCCCTTTATTCCATATCCTAACCTGCACATGATAGTATCAGAATATTTTTAATGTTTATTTTTCTGGTGAATATGAGATTGAATAACATTGTTTAGATTTTTTTTAAGTGAAATTAAAACAAATTTTCAAATGCATGTCTTTTAAGCAGTAAATTACTGGATTTGGACTTGAAGCAGTTTACTAAATTTCCATTTAACCCATTTTGTACCAATTTGTAATGTTACTGTGTGTGATATTACAGTGAGTTGTCCAAAGAATGATGAGTGAAACATAGCAGATTCCCTTTCTTTCCAAAACAGAGGAAGACAGCTGCTCTCAACCATTTTTCTCAAGCCCAAAATTAGCTTGATCCTCAGCAAGAGATCACTTACCTATGAATCAGAACTTTTTTAGCTAGTTTATACTTTTGTAAATAGTAGCATCCTTAGAAACCCTCTGTTTTCTTCCCATTCCTCTCTTCCCTGTCCCCCAGCGCCTCCTTTTCCTTTTTTTATTTTTTTTATTTTTTATTCCCTTTGACTTATTTTTTTTTCATAATAAAACCCATTTAAATATACTACTCAGTTGTGAAGTTGGACTGGTTAGCCCCTTCTTGAAAGTGACAGAGACTACAACTTTCCACAGAGACTTTGCATTTGAGTCTTTTCACTAATACAGCAGCAGGATTTAAGCATTTCATTAACTCTTCATTCAGAGTTTGACAATCCTAATAAACCCATCTTTCTCCTAAAAGGCTGACTTTATCCAGTCATTTATATTTCCATTATAGCAATGTCAAAACCTGTTCTGAATAAAATGTTCTGCAAAAAGTATCGTTGTTTCTCAAGTTAGTCCCTAAAAGATATTTTTTTAATTAAATGAAAACATCTATAAGTTGCCATACTTAGAAACTAAGTCCTATAAACTAAGGATTATTAACTAATGGGTTTCTGTTTCATTGTATTGTTGAAATTCAAAGTATCATGTAGGTTATGTATGCATACAGTCATATTTATTTAAATAACTACAATTGGAGGGCTTCCCTGGTGGCAGAGTGGTTGAGAGTCTGCCTGCTGATGCAGGGGACACGGGTTCGTGCCCCGGTCCGGGAAGATCCCACATGCCGCGGAGCGGCTGGGCCCGTGAGCCATGGCCGCTGAGCCTGCGCGTCTGGAGCCTGTGCTCCACAACAGGAGAGGCCACAGCAGTGAGAGGCCTGCGTACCGCAAAAAAAATAAAAAATAAAAAAATAATGACAGTTTGCTAGTGTCAATCATATTTTAAAAACTATAAAGAGGATTTAAGCTCTTGTGAAACAATCAGAATATAGTTCTTTAAATATGCATACTATATTATTAGTTTTATGACTTTATATTTGACTCTTATGATTTATGTTTTATTGATTTCTTGAAAAGCAAAGAGCAATAGTATTAACTACTTTGGCTTTTTTCTCCTGAATCAACTCATATACTGCTCAACAACTTTTGATAACATTATTTTTAATCATATAAAAAATAATAAAATAAGTAAAACTTTTTTGCCTAAATTTCAAGGCCCTCAGTAACCTAAACCGAGCCATGTGTACTGAATCATCTATTATGTCTCTACACGTACTCTACACTTCAGCCAAGTTTCTTACCAATTTCTTACCTCTGTTCATTAACAACACTTCATATTTTTCTCCGTCTGCAACACGGACCTACTGTAACCTTTACATGAACACTTTTACATTAGTTTCCTATTTCTGATACAACAAATTATCACAAATGTAGTGGCTTAGAAAACACAAATCTCTCAGCTTACAGTTCTGTAGTCTCACTGGGCTAAAATCAAGGTGTCATCAGGGCTGCGTTCCTCTTGCCGCTTCTAGAGGTCCCCATATTCCTTGGTTTGTGGCCTTCTACCATCTCCAAAGCCAACAATGTTACAATTTTCTAATTATTCTTCTATAGTCATAGCTCTCTCTCTCTTACAACATTAAGGTAGCTTCTTCAATTTTAAGGACCGTGTAATCAGATTGCGTTCACCTGAATAATCCAGCTCATCTCCTCATGACAAAGTCCTTAACTTAAACACATCTGCAAAATCCATTTTGCCACGTATGATAATATATTCTCAGGTTCCAGAGATTAGCACGTGGACCTCCTGGGGGACACATTATTCTGCCCACCACAGCTTTCTTCTATTCCTGCCACCTAACAAAGTTTACCTCTTTACTCATAGAATTGGAGCATGTAGTGAGTGGTTCAGATGCACAAATGTTATTCAATTCAACCTCCCATCTACAAGTGGGTCCAAGAGTCTCATTGCTGCCAGATAGTAGATTTTTAGTAAATATTTGTTAAATTCTGAATGAAATAACTTGTTTTTCTAGGCCCAGCTCAGATAATAACATTTCTTTGAGGCCTCAATTATTCTAGTTTAAGTAGATTTCTCGCCCAAAATTTCTCTAACGTTTATCATCTGACCACTAAATTATAATCTATCACTTATTTTATATGAGGACAAATATTACTTTTCTACTCTCGGATATTATATTTATTACATGTTTCATTTTATGATGTGTCTAGTGCATAATAGTTTATACTTTTTCCTTTATCTCACTTTTCAATCATTCATTTCATTGTACATTCTCCATATTTTATGTGCTATATTACAGCGGTCCCCAACTTTTTGGCACCAGGGACCAGTTTCATGGAAGACAATTTTTCCACGGACAGGTGGTTGAGGGGGGGGATGTTTCAGGAGGTAATGCAAGCGATGGGGAGAGAAGGGGAGTGGCAGATGAAGCTTCACTCGCTTACCTGCCACTCACCTCCTGCTGTGCGGCCCGCTTCCTAACAGGCGGGTAGCGGTCCATGGCCCGGGAGAAGGGGACCCCTGTTATATTTTATTAGTCTGGGTTGGTTCTAAGCCTAAAGGCAAGACCTGCTCTCCCAGTTCATTTTTCTTTCTGAGCTCACCTTTGTAAATTCCCCTCACCAGAAAGCACATTGGAGCAGGAGACCTTGCACAGAGCAGATTTTTCCATTCTGTCTTCTTTTCCAGCATTTCTGACTGCAATTAGGGTGGCAACGCAGGTTGAATCAGCACCCTGGGCCCAGCTGTCTTTAATTTAGGAAGTAGAAAGTCCCACTTCAGTCTCAGGCCTATGGTCCTGTCATATTATTCTCTCTACCAGGAAGAATCAGTTTTTTTAAATCACAGCCAAGCTCAATGTTCAGTGCATTGCCTGCACATAGTAGGCACTTTAAATAAACATTTGTCAAATGAATGAATGAAAGGATAAATGAAATATTGACATAAAAATTAGACTCTTATTGGTCCATGTTATTGTGTCCAAGTTTTGGATGCAGGAGCAGAGTGGGTAGGTCTACTTTACTTTTCTCAACCCACCCTGGATACTCATTCCTGAAAGTCCCTTGCATTCATGATAATATATTTTTTTGGATGTAAATGTGATTGTTTTCAAGTGCTGAAAGTCAATAAATTGTCTTCTAAAAACATTAATGAAAAAGCCCAAGACAGCTATTTTGACCCAAGAGTGAAGCAAAATCTTCTGTAATAGAATTCATAGTAACAAAATTATTCTAAAAGAATTTCAAAATATTTTCAGTCTTACACTATCTTTGGATCCCTCTTATGCAGCATCCTAAAATGACTTTATTCAAAAATACTACATATGTCAACATTAATGTCCTATCAAGTTAGTATTTTATTATACTTTTTTGTACATCCTTCTTTGACAGATCCTAAACTCCTTGGTGTGTATTTGTATCCTTAGAACCTAGGACAGTTTCTATTTCTTTTTAAAAATATTAATTAAATGAATAAATGCATATTTCACTTGGTATCATGCCTTCCTCAGATATTTATTGAGCATTAACATGTACAAGGGACTGTGAGAGCCGTACACATAACCTGCCATCATGGAATAAGAATGAAAAACTATTCCAAATAAAGAAATTTTCTGTCTCCATATACAAGGCTCCCAGTTATAGATAAATCAAGATGTCCTCTCTAGTATCTCAAGACTTCATGGCTAGATTAGCTTTCAACTCGTAATCGTTAAATAAAGCCTCCTGGTGTCTGGATCTGATGTCTATGATTTCTCTTCACATTCAAAATGCTGTTCTCCTCTAAAAGACAACCTGGGTGGAAAATGTTGCATTGGGAAAGATGGAACATATATTTTGGTATATATACAGCATTTTAAAATATTTAAGTCCTATATAATCCTAATTTATTTTAGGATTAAGTTATCTAAGTGGTGCTTGGATTTAAATAATGTTTAAGTAATGAAGTTTTTGCATTTATATTAGTAGGATACTCTAGCATTATACATTTTACAACTTTAAGAGTTCAAGGACAGAGAAAGTATATTTTTCTTCCTAGTTCACTGATGATGAAATAGGAGCATAACATTTTTAAGTATCTTATTCTAAGTCATATAATGAGTCCTGATTAAAATCACTGTTGGAAATCAAAGCTTTTTGTTCAATGGCTTCAACAATGGGCTATTCATCTTCCTTGGACACTTTGCATAAGTAATAGCTGCTCACATCTAAGAACAATTCCAGTGGCTATAATATCTATATTCATTTTACATTAGAGGATTTATTTTTCTGTTTATGAATTCAGTATATTTCTCTGAACTGGATGTAGTTCAGTGTTTTATTATAGGAAATCATATTTTTTTCTATAGGTTATCAGGAAACAGTTACCCAATTTTACTAAATTATAACAATGGTTCTTATCCAAAAGCTGTTATAAGTCATGAAAATGAAATCAATTTACTGGCTTAGTTCCCAGATTAAGAATTGCTTTATGAATAAGTAAAATAATAGATGGTATCTAAAAGGGGAATGGACAATTTATATATTTTCAGTCTACTTCTTACATTTCACATTTAGTAGTAAAATAGTTACTATTTGGAATTGAGATGCCTCGTATTATGCTGGTATTTTGCAAGAAAGAAATAGGCAAAAAAAATAACTAGATATTCCAACAATAATAATAATAGTAAAGCAGATTTTCCACAATACTCACATTCACTGATAATTTTAATATTTTATGAATATAGATACTATAACACATCTCTTCTACTTCATTCTCAATTTTTCTTCCTCAGCCTATTCACGTTTTATCTTTCTAGTGATCACCTACAAAGTAAATATGCCCACCCAAAGGTTTGCTCAGCAAACCCTCATTATTTGTCAGTTTTGTAGGGTCACATGAGGAATTTATGTTTTGACAAGTTATCCTTTGTCATTTGTCTTATTATTCTATAGAATTTGATAAAACTAACAAAAGATTAATAACAGTACAAGTGTAACATCATAAGTAAACCATCACAAATATAAGACAAAAGATAAGAAATCAAAGGAGAAAAACTGACAACTTGGAAATTTCAAGGGAAAAAAGAACAAGATAATAGGATAATCTTGACACACATAGCTAAAATGTATTTGAATTAGAGAGAGGGAGAACAGAAATTGAACGTGGACCTCTTCTCTTTTCATTCTATAATCCTTACCTAGGTAAATTTATCTTCACCTAAGACTTCAATTGACAGCTATAATCCTTTGGGCAATAAATCTCTATTACTACCTAGACCTCTTTTCTGAGTTCTGAATACACTTATCAGCCTCATCTCCTCTAGCTTGTCTTACATATGTTACTGCCATATATCTGGTACATTGATACCACCCTTGACCCTCCCCTCTTCCTTACCTGCTATATTCAATACAATACACCACTAACTCATATTGGTTGTTTTCTCTGAATTATCTCCTGAACGTATTTACTTCTTTCCAATTCCAATTCACCACCCTATTCCAAGCTACCATCCTGGACTATTGTAATATCCACCTAACTATTCTAATTCTACTATTGCTTTCCTCCGAACCATCACCCACATGGCTGCCACACTGACCTTTTTAAAATGTAACCACAATAATGTTATACTCCTGCCTACAACCTTTCAGGATAAAGACAACCATGGCTTCGAGACCATGATCTGGTCACTTAAGACATCTCTAGAGCCAAATCTAACTTCTCCTTGCCCTCTCCTAACTACCATGATCATCTCTCAGTGCCACCTCCTCACTGTGCTTCCTCCCACCCCAGGGTCTTTGTTCATGTTCTTTCTTTCAAGTAAACAGTTCTCCTCTCCCTCCTTTGCCTAGTCAATTCTTATTCATCCTTTATACTTCAACTCCCTAGTGCTTTCATAGGAAAGACCCTCTTGGCAAGGTCAAATTGCCTGATTCTATACCCTACAGAACAAGGCCCTCCTCTTTTATTGCACTTATTGTGTGACCTGTTTATCAATGTCTGTCTCCTCCAATAGACTATAAACTCTAAAAAAGCAGAGGGCTTATGACTTTACTCATCATGTAACTCCAAGATAGAGCAAGTGAGTACATATGGTAGACGCTCAAAAATTTTAGTTTAATATGAACACCAGTTAAAAGTAATTAAGTGCAATAAACAATTATGAGATAAATATTTTAAATAATGCAATTTAAATTACATAAGAATACGAAACACTTAAAGCAAAATCAGTAAAGGACTTCTATACTTAAAACTAGAAAAAAATTTCTGAGACAGAGTAGAAAAGAAACCAAAAGGATAAACCATAAATAATTGATAAAGTGGAATTCACAAAATGTAAAATTTCTATTCTTCAGAAGACACGATTAAGAAAATGAAAAGACAACTTGAAGATTTTATGTGTGTGTGTATGTGTATGTATGTGTGTGAATATATGTGTGTATATAACAAAGGACTCGTATCTAGAATATATGAAGGACAATTACAACTTAATAAGAAAACACCTTTATTCATAATAGTTTCAAACCAAACACCACCAAAATTTGCATCAATAGGTGAATAGGTAAACAAATTTTGGTATATCCATACTACTCATCCATAAAAAGGAATGAGCTACGACATGAAAACACAAGGATAAATTTCAAAAATGTTATACAGAGCAAAAGAATCCAGATACAGAGCACATATTCTAGGATTCCATTTATATGAAAAGGCAAAAGTTATCTATAGTAACAAAACCAGATTAGTAGTTGATTAGGACTAGGGAAGTGAGTGGTCACATTGATGGCATATGGACACAGGGAACTTTTCTGGGTGATGGACAAGTTCAATAACTTAATTGTAGTGGTTGTTTCATGGATGGACACATTTGTCAAACTCATCAAACTATACATAAAAGTGGGTGAATTTTATTGCATGTAAATTATACTTCAACAAAATTAAGTAAATGAAAAAACTAATTTAATTTTTAAAGACTATGGGTTGAAAAATAAGTAAAGACTACAAGACAATAAAAAGCCTCAGCCAACACAACTGAGACCATACCTTATTTCAAAGTGAGGGGGTAATAGACACACCTTACCCAAGGAACTGAGAGAATTTGCAGTAATCATTTTATGTCCCTATTTTCTTTGGGAAATGCCAAAAATTAAGCCCCCATGGTGTTCCATTATCTCTCTTTCCTTGTTGCACCTGTATACTTCTTCCCCACCTAAAACTATTTTGACCACTACCCCATTCGAAACTTCAAGAGTAGTTCAGCTCATATATTTCTTAACAATCTCCTATACACTGTTAAAATTTTTCACTGAGCACTCCCTACATCTACTGACCTGATACGTTATTCTCTGAGAAACTTGTTACTCTCTGAGAACACCATATCTCTGGTTTTCTTCTCTACTTCAGGGCCATATATTGCGCCACACACCATGTATAATGATAGAGTTGTCTCAGTGTTTTCCTTGTTCCCTAATACTACTTTCGGACAATTACCCTTGCTCATTTGTGGCTTATGTCATTTCATTT